AACTAGACAACGTACAATAATTTAATGACTGCATAACGACTTGGTGATATAGTTTGTATAAAATATTACAATTATTACTAACTTTATAAATTTTGTCTGAAGCATTAATAGTACTTAGTCATTATGATCATTAATAAATATATGTCATTTTTAAGCTATATCATGCTATATTAATGATGATTCTGATCTACTGTCATCACAAATAATATGGTGTAGCATGGTGCAGGTGACAGTTTCATTTACGTTTCGTTTCACTATAAAAAGATTTACAAATTATAATAATAATAATAAACTTCTGCCGAGGGTAAGTTGCCAGTCCTCTCCTTAAGAGGGGAGATGCGATTTTTTTTAAGTTTAAGAAATAATAATAAACTCAGGACAATTCACACAGCGCCAGCTAGACCCAAGTTAAGCTAGCTAAAACATACTAGATAATTGATACATACATAGATATTTTTTTATTGTAAATACATACATATTATACATAGAAAACACCCAGACCGATACAAGCAATTATATTCATGAATACAAATGTTTGTGCCGTGCGAGGAATCGAACCCGCGACCATTGGTCGTAAAGCGGTGTGCTAGACCACTAGACCACCGAGAGACCATTCGTCGGAGAATTATGACCTAGTATTTCGGCTGTATCATATTTGTTTCTTTTTATAACACAGGGGACAAACGAGCATGTGGCTCACCTGATGGTAAGTGATTACCGCCGCCCATGAGCACCCGCAACACCAGGGGAATTGCAAGTACGTTGTCGGCCGTTTAAAAAGGAATAAGCTCTTTTCTTGAAGGTATTTCAGCTGTACCACATTTATACGTATAAATAAAATTGGAGTGTCTGTTTGTAATATTGAAATAACCGTTTTTTACTACATGCATATGAATATAAATACGGTATCTACATATACCAAAATAACATTTTTTTAACACATTTTGTCCGTCTGTCTGTTTGTTCCGGTTAAACTCTGAAATGGCAGGACCGATTGACGGGATGTTTTTTGGCAGGTAGCTGATGTAATAAGGAGTAACTTGGGCTACTTTTATTTCAGAAAATATCTTTTATTTTCGATAAGTAATGTTAAATTCCACGCGGACGAAGTCGCTGATACAGCTTGTAATATATTAAATCATTAATAACTGTATTAACTTAAATGTAGCAATTGTTAAATGTAAAATTAGTAACTGTCACCCGCACCATCCTACAGCGCACACAGTATAATATGATTAAACTTAAATATATTTCTTTGTGATTGAAAGGAAACCTATTATTACTAAATTAAGTTAGATTCCAGATAACGCTAATGAGGCATTATGTATAACATTCATTGCCATTTCATAATTGCTGTTCAGTTTATTGCCCAATTTACACTCAGCCCGAGTGAGCAGGGAAGTGAGCACGGAAGTGAGCAGCGCGAGAGTGTAAACATCAGGGATGTTATGGATATGAAATTTCGTATACGGATAGGTTTCGGATATAGTACTGATTATTATACCGGTACGGATACGGATGCGGATATGAAATTATTTCGGATTATCCGTTAGTTTCAGATTTATTAAGGAATTTCAAAAGGAAATTACAAATAGCTGATAAAACTGTTACATAACGTGTCTCAATTAGGCTCCGCTCCTATCCGATATTATCCGAAACTCTTATTTCGGATTCGGTTACGGATATTTTTTTATATCGGATGTCCGATGGTTCCGGTTACGGTTACGGATATTTTTTATATCGGATATCCGATAGTTTCATTAGTTTTTTTAATCAAATAAAAGTAAATTATTCAGAATATGATATGATATGATAGACGATAGACTATTTAAAATTTAGAATATGAAAAAATGGTTACGATTACGGATATTTTTTATATCGGATATCCGATAGTTTCGGTTACGATTACGGATATTTTTTATATCGGATATCCGATAGTTTCGGTTACGGTTACGGATATTTTTTATATCGGATATCCGATAGTTTCGGTTACGGTTACGGATATTTTTTATATCGGATATCCGATAGTTTCGGTTACGATTACGGATATTTTTTATATCGGATATCCGATAGTTTCGGTTACGGTTACGGATATTTTTTATATCGGATATCCGATAGTTTCGGTTACGGTTACGGATATTTTTTATATCGGATATTAGTTTCGGTTACGGATATTTTTTATATCGGATATCCGATAGTTTCGGTTACGGTTACGGATATTTTTTTATCGGCTATCCGATAGTTTCGGTTACGATTACGGATCTCTGGTAAACACGAGTGAAAACACTTCCCATGCCATTGGCGCTGCCACTCGCGCTGCCCGGCGCTCCCTCGATTGTCGGTTTCTCGTGCGCGAGTCAAAGGACTGGCAGCGCGAGTGGCAGCATGTTTTTACATTCAGCCCTCTCGCTCAGTTGTCACCAGGCAATATTATCGGCAGCGCGAGTGGCAGGGGAAGCGGCTGAATGTAAACGTAGCATAACAAATATTAGAAATCCGTCAGGCAATTTGGTCTTAAAAGTATATACGGAAACTCGTACTTTATTATAAAAATTTTCAACATGTTTTAATTAATATTAATTTATAATAACTTTGTTCGTTTTTATAGTTTGAACTTCATCATTTTTCATTCATCACCTTTTATCATTGAACAGTTGAATCAGTGTGACAATACATTCATTTCATTTATAGAAATATAGTGGACAAGCATTTTTCTGTATCGTTTGAGATATTATCAAGTGCTTGGACCTGTAGCACTGCAACCTCCATAGATCTATTGTGCTCGCCCTTTTCAGAGATCGCTACCTAGACCCGTCAGAGACAATAATTGAAGGATATTCTTAGGAGCGATGGTTTTTTATCTCCTCGGGAAAGAGTGTAAACTTACCACAGGAGATTTCGTTTATGCTTGATTATTATATTATATAGTTTTTATCCGAGATCATATATTTTTTACAAAACGGCGTTAATTCCGTATTCACAAGCGTACATCTGTTATTGAGTGAATTTTTCTAAATGATTGTTCAATACAGTATCCAAAGAATGATAATAGAAATAGAAATAATCTTCATTCCAAAAAATCTCAAAATGGGCACTTTTAATTGTCATATATTTTTTACTAGCTACGCCAGCGGTTTCACTTGCGTTAAATCTCAATAATAGCGTTGATGTGATTCTAGTTAGTAAAGTTTCATAAAAATCCGTTTAGATGTTATTGCGTGACAGACTAACATCTGTACTTACAAACTTTCATATTTATTACATTAATAAGATTCTATCAGTCAGAACGCAGACTCATCACAGAAAGAATGATTAACATGCGTTTTGCTCTTTCAAATAATGTTGATCTGAGTAAAAACACATTAACAAGAAAAAGAAATCTAGCTTCGATGCAATTTATAATTTATTTAATTTATCATTCTTTGGACATTTTATTGAATAGTTCAACAATCCGTTTTGTATATTCAAATTAACAGAAAACAAAATTATATAAGAAAATGAAATCAATCGTCATCACTCTACTTAACAAGTTCGATATCAATACGACCGATCAAACGATCCGATCGACTCAAGAATGCTAAAATAATCGGAATAAAACTGATCACATTGTACCTATACGTACTTATAACATTTCTATCAACACTCGGCGCCCCCTCCATTTGTTTAAATCTCCACATAACATAGATTTCTTCAGTTTAAAGTCAATCCGCTATACAACTCCGCGTTACTACTAAGCCATGTAGCACACGATCAAATAAACCTATTAATGTATATGTAAAATCATTCCACTTGATACTGTTAGAAATAAGGCGACGACGCCTCAACATGTTATACGTAAAGGTACGTACAGATCGTTTGAGTATGATGTAGTAGTAATATGATACTCGCGATTGACTGCGTCAATTTCTAGATCATAACATTTACCATTCTTAACATTTTGTTTTACTCCTGTTTTAATTAAATGCCAGAGGTCCAGATCGGTTTGAGTATGGTACAATGGTGTGACTCAGCTGTTCATTTGTGACGTTTACCATTTTGTTCTGAACTCCTGTGTGGTGAGAGTCCTTCATAATTAAATGCCATAGTCCAGATTACAATGGTGATATGATAACATTTTGTCAATTTCTAGATCATGATTAGCTGTTCATTGATGATTTTACCATTTTAAATTTTGTTTTCAACTCTTGTATTTTCAATGTTGGAGTGAGAGGCAGTTTTAATTTTATGCCATAGGTCCAGATCGGTTTGAGTATAGTACAATGGTGATATGATACTCACGTTTGACTGCGTCAACTTCTATGTCATGATGTAGCTGTTCATTTCTAACATTTACCATTCTTAACATTTTGTTTTAAAATGTTTTTTAGTTTGTTTCAAGATTTCTCGTTTGTTTGTGTCAAGTTCTATATCATGATTTAGCTGTGTTACCATTTTACATGCTTTGATTTAACAATGGTAAACATGCCGTTTACCATTGTTAACATCGATTTCAAAACTGTTTTTGACAGTCCCTCATAATTGAATGTTAGATCAGATTGGTATGGCAGGTGGTGATATGATTTTTTGTGTGACTGACACAGTTGCAAGTTCTAATCATATTGTAACTGTCTATGATGTATATATAGCTGTTCATATTCTTAACTTTAATTTAAGTCCAGATCGGTATGGCATAGTGGTGATATAATACCATTCATATATTCAAAACATTTTGTTACAAGATCAACTTTTAGATCATAATGTAGTTCATTTGTGAAGTTTACCATTTTAAACATTTGTATTCTGAAAATTTTATATGATATTTTGTTTTAAATTGTTTGAATTATTTTAATGTCATTTAGTTTGAGATTAGATTAGATTTCACATCATGATGTAGCTGTTCATTTACGACACTTACCATTTTTAATGCTTTGTTTTGAACATCTTGTATGATTTCAATGTTTTTAGTTTGTTTCAAGATTTTTTGTGTGACTGTTGCTTCTATATCATGATCTGATATTCTTAACATTTTGTTACAAGATCTTCTTACGATTTATACGTCGAAGTGAGAAGCGGACCCCATTAATTGAATGTCATAGGTCCAGATCGATATGGCCGTGGTGATATGATAGCCGTAGCGGGAGATGCCGCGGCGATCGGCGTCAGTTCAGACGTCGAGCTGCGCGAGGAAGTTCTGCAGGTGTTGCTGGTGGTGGTGCGCGGGCGGGTGGTGCGGATGGTGCGGGTGGTGGTGGCGAGCGGCGGGCGCGAGCCTGTCGAGGTGCGCGTGGTCGGCGCGCGGCGGGCGCGGCGCGCGCGGCAGACGCAGCGGCGCCGGCAGCAGCTCCGGCATCACGCTGTGGTGCGTCACCAGCGCAGACAGCGACGAGAACTCCTTCGTGAACCCCTGAACAGTGCAACGCTACGTTACAGCAACCGTTATCTACTTATACATTATGCGTTATATTATTTTTGTCATTTATTAGTATATGACTTAGAAGGGAAGTGGATTGTTAGTAATGTGGACTGTTGACCTCATCGCTAGAAATGGTACTAGAGTTTACTGCAACCGTTCTCTACTATAATCGTTATTTACTACACTTTGAATTCTATTATTTTTATCTTTCACTAGTATATAAACTAGGGGGAACTGGATTGTTAGCAATGTAGACTGTTGATCCTTTTGCTAACAATGTATCATGTCAGGTTCCCCCTGGAAACCATCATGACAATTTCTTAGAGATTTTGTCAAGATGGGCTAACTGAACTAACATCATGCTCATTTCATCGTCCTCCACTGGTGGCGGGGCACCAGTATACCGTTGGCACAGGTGAGTGCATCAGTCCATTATCACCCATAAAAAAAATCCATAACGCATCTTGGACAACTTACTAAAGATCCTATAAAGTAAGATCTTGACATATGTGTTACCAATGTTAACAATAATCATTTACTTATATATCAATTAATTTATTTCATTCATGATTACTAATGTTAATCACTAATCATAATCATTAATGTATTAAGGTTTGATTACTAATTGCTAAACCTAACTTCATGCTCATTTTATCATCCTCCACATAGGCATAGACATTATGTCCATTATTATCCATAAAAAAAATTAAATTATATATTACCAATGTTAACAGTAACCGATTACTTTATTAAGTAATTAAATTCATTTATTTCAATCATGATTACTCTCGTTAATCATTAATCATAATCATTCAAGGCCGTGTGATTGATTATAAGTATTAACCATAAAGTTTAATTATAAAAATTACCCATAACGAATCAAATGGCTAAAATAACCTAGCATTTGTGTCATACGTGTATCGTGTAAATATTGATAATTTTAATGATGATAATAAACTTGATGATGACGTAGTCAATGATGATGACGCACACCAGATATATGTATGTATGAGCGAGGAGAGAGAGAAAGTAAGAGAGAAGCGCGACCTTGATCTTGTAGCCTTTGGGCGTGGTGAGTATGAGGTAGTGCGCGATGCCGGAGGGCTGGAAGTCTGCGGGCACGCGCACGGACAACGCGAAGCACCCCGCTTGCGTCGTACTGCCGCGCACCAGGAACGCGCCAACGCGCTCGCCGCTCAGCACCTCCAGCGCTATCTGACAACATATTCCACACCATCGCTCACTCTATGCTCAACCCTTCATTTACAATTACAATATACTATACACATTGTTACTAAATTAGAACATATTTGAAATTTACATTCCAATTAGTGGAGCTGTTCATACATACATGTGACGGTTACCACCCACCATCAGGTAGTACAATTTGTAAATGCTTTGCAGATATGACCTATAATAACATGTATATGACTGAAATTGGTCAAACTTAGGTGAGGTTCTATTTCAGACGTTGAGCAACTTGCTTTGTAAGAATTTTTTAGGTTGAAGGGGAGATAATACAGTGCAATTACTTTTTTACAATGTATTTTTCACATTGCACTGAATAAAATATTTTTCTTTCTTTCTTTCTTTCTTTCTTTCTTTCTTTCTTTCTTTCTTTCTTTCTTTCTTTCTTTCTCTCTCTCTCTCTCTCTCTCTCTCTCTCTCTCTCTTTCTTTCTTTCTTTCTTTCTTTCTTTCTTTCTTTCTTTCTTTCTTTCTTTCTTTCTTTCTTTCAATTATAGGATAAGAGGCATGATAGCCTCCATGAGTCCTCTGTTTTATAGTTACGAGTTACGAGACTACGAGTGCTCACAAGCCCTGCATAATGATCCTGCCCTGGTCTTACCTTCCCCTGTTTATCGCCGAAGTACACACCCAATTGTAGAAATTTCATATTTGCACTGAGTGGTTCCCTTCGTCATTCTAAATACAGTAGGTAAAGAATAAAACACAATCGAAGTGTGTTCCACTCTTTAGTGATACCGGAGAAATATAACCTTGGACCGTTCAAAGGAATGATGAATCGATTACTACAAGGTAAGCACGTTAAATCCAAGGCTTCGCAAACATTTTCGACCATAAACTCTTAAAGCGTCAGCTTATCTGCCATATCAATACATGCCTTTACTCGTACGCTCTTTCACGCGGGAAAGAATGTGCATGTAAAAGTAGACAAGAAGATCGACCGAGCTCGCCGCCAGCTCCTACATTCCCGCGTTCTTCAATCGTGTTTTAGTGGTAATTAATTTTCATTGCTAAAGTGCGGATTTTTAACTATGGAGCGAAGACAATTAGAGCTATCGAGTATCCATAAATGTTAAACGTGTCTTTGAAAAAAAAATGTGGTATATAAAATAAATGTTTCAAAGAAAGTTAACTGACTTGAAACGTAAGCACTATTAAGCGCGAAAGGTCTGTTCAGGTTGTGAACACTGATTAAATTTTTTGTTCTTTGCGATAGCATATGCTGGTGGTCACTCTATTCTCCCAAATTTGAATTTTAATAACTATATTTATCATAAACATGTTCCACTTTTATTTGAAAAAAATACGAGCTGAGTTTCTTGTCAGTTCTTCTCATCTCGATATCATTCCGAACTGACGGTAGATTTGACATATCATAAGTCTGTAATAGACCTACATGAATAAAGATATTTTGAATTTGAAATTTGAAAAAAAATTTGAAAAGAGAGAACACAAAAAATAGTAAAATGCAATCCCGCATGTTTGCGCCCGCTCCTGATCTGGAGGTAGCTATTGATGTGAAGAAGAGCAGGTGATTACCTCTCTGGGTATCCCCTGCTGGAACCAGGGCGCCTGCCTGAGTTCTGGCTCTGCGCGCGGCACGTTATTGTTTCCAGAGGCGCGCGAGCCTCCGCACGAGGACGCTCCCGACGACGAGGAGGTCGTCCCGCTGCACCCTCCCACCGGGCTGCTGCCATGTTGGAAACCAATACATATTATATAGCTGTTGATTCACTGCATATCTGTATCAATACTAAGTTTCAATAACGAAGATACCGAAATACATTCAGTTTGGAAATTCATAAAACTCTGCAAGATATATAAATTCAAAGCCTTGCAGCGAATCTGAGTTCAGCAGTTTTTGCCGTGTATAAGGTTAGACAGTACACTGATACTGATACTGCTAGATTAGTCTATTTTAGTTATTTTCATAGTTTACTTTCTAATGGAATATTATTATGGGGAAAAGCGGCAGATTTTAAAAATAGATTCATATTACAAAAACGTGCCATTCGAACGATCTACTGTATGAGGAGTCGTGACTCATTAAGAGAGAAATTCAAAGAGACAAATATTCTCTCTTCTCATTCAAATTTCAATTGAGTTTCTTGCCAGTTCTTCTCAATTGAATTTGTATACTGATCTGGACGGTAGTGAAAAAATTATAATATAAAGAATTTACATTTATAAGCGGCTAAAATGTCATTTATTCATGTAGGACAATTTAGCCGCTTCATCATCATCTGCTTCTTCCTTATCCCATTTATTTGTGGTCGGCGTAATATGTTTTTCGCTTCCATTCATCCCTGTTCGCAGTCATCGCGTCATTTACTTCCTTTCTTACCATATCATCTTTCACACAGTCCATCCATCTCTTTTTTGGCCTTCCTCTGCCCTTATAACCATCCACATTCATTTGTAACATCTTTCTTAACATTTTAGCCGCTTATGAACGTCAAATTTTTACGTTACATATTTTTTTTTAATAAATATATTTATAATTTGAAAATAAAGGATAGGTTGTAGTATTTTACCCATTTTGAATGTTGTTAGAGCACGGGAAGTCCGTGAGGAGATCCCCGCGTGAGTTGTGAGTGCGGCGCGGCGGTGCAGGCACGTCCCGATTGCTGGCCCTCGTCCTTGCCTCCGCTTCCGACGCTTCGTTAATGTATCCACCGTTGAGGCACACAGGCATGTTTGTAGGTCTGTAAATTGCAGTGTTATTTGTTTAAAGAAAATGTTTATTATCCTTGACCTTTAGTTTTTTATATACTACTATAAAAAACTGTTGGAAAATGTTGCGGGTGGAATATAATGTTGGTCGAGACGATGTATATTACAGATGATGATAAACTGACAATGTGTACATAGAAATATTGATGTTATATACTAAATAACAATAGGAAAATGTAAGGTGGGGTGACACAGTTTAGACACAGCAGTGCTTAGTAGACAATATTGAATTTGTCTTACTAGACATTATTAAATGCAATTATTATTTTGATGTATCTAGGTGACTGTGTCTCATAGAAAACAAGGATACGGCCCATCTGATGGTAAATGGTTACCGTAGCCTATGGACGCTTGAAATATCAGGCACTAGGCGTTGCCGACCCTTAAGAAACCTTAATATACCCTTCATGAAAAACCCCATGCTGTAGTCTCGTGAGAAAACCTCGACAGCTAGTTCATTCTACAATCTAAGTTTAGTAATAATATTCATATGTCAGTATAATTCACACAGCGCCATCTAGTCCCAAACTAAGCAGAGCTTTTGTTATTAGTACTAGCTTTGTTATTCTTATATTACATTCTGTATATTGCGAGTAATAATATATCAGGAATGTTATTTCTTTTTTTGATTGGTGGCTCCACTGAAAATCAGCGCTGTAGTGACATGCTGCGGCACTACCAGATACTAGCTTTTAAGTTCTTCTATATTTACACTCTAAACAATGTTATGGTGAATAAATAAAAAGAATAATTATTGTTATTGGAAGACGCAGCGTGGGAAGGCCTCCAGCAAGGTGGATCGACGATCTGGTCAAGATGGCTGGAAGGCACTGAATGCGAGCAGCGCTGGACCGATCGTCGTGGAAATCTTTGGAGGAGGCCTTTATTCAACAGTGGACGTCTTCCGGGCTGAGATGATGATGATGATGATTATTATTATTTGTTACTTTTGAACTATAGTCGCTATTTTTCAATGATAATTAATTATTACAAAAGGGCGCTAAAGCACGCACGATTGTAGAACTCGGGAAATTGCTCACTGTTTGCGCGCGCGGGGTTTCTCGTTTCCTTGTCTACACATGCATACTCTTTCCTGTATAAAAACTGATGCACGCATGAAAGAGAGTGTAAGAGATACGAAGATATAGAGAGAGATACTGACGTAGTGGGAGTGTCAGCGACGAGCGGCGTGGAGTCGTCATCGTCGGGAGGCAGCAGCGCGCCGCCGAAACCACGGGCGATTCGCCGCATGAGGGGCGGCCGCTCCCCCCTCTCCGCCCGCTCCCCCAGCCGCCGGTAGCTGCTCACCTCCGTCGGGGAGGTGGACTCCTCCGAGCTGCTAGGGCTCACCTCCGCCATCAACTTCGTGACGCCCATCATGTCACATTTCGCTGGCGACCTGAAGACGTATAGTGAACATATATATAATAATTATAATAATTTCAAGATAATACACACAGCGCCATCTAGACCCAAGTTAAACTAGCTAAAGCTTGTGTTATGGATACTAGATAACTGATACAAATACATAGATTTTTTTTCGTAAATATATACACTTGAAACACCCAAACCGATACAAACAATCATACTTATGTTTGTGCCGTGCGAGGAATCGAACTCGCGACCATCGGAAGTATAGCTAAACCACTATACCACCGATGTCGTCCACGTACATACGTATATAGAAATATAAAAGTCCGTCATACTCGGAAACGGTACGATGAACTAGTCCCCACAAGCGGTGATGATAAATTTGACATATCATAAGAGTCTGTAATAGACCTACATGAATATTAATGTATGTCATAAACAGTCCGAGATTATAATGCACATTTAAAGATGAATCATAAGAATTAATGTAGTAATACCTAGGCGGATAGTGGTGTGTAAGGCCGGGAAGCGAATCTGGTGCGCGCACGCCCATGCCTCCACACTCGCCACTTAACTCCTTGCTCTGTAAAAATTTCAAAAGTACATTTATTTCACCTTTAATGGATTGTGTTGGGTCTTGATATGACCATATAATTGTTGAGTAACTCTTTTGATATTAACATATGTCGCGTACAAGCAGCAACAAAACGCAATGTAAAGGGAGCATTCTGATTGGAGCGCACACCCATCAATTTTAAATACACAACCTAACAAACAGACTTTAAAAATCATTCGGTCAATCTAACGCAAAAGTGCGTTAGACGTTCGTTCACTCCACCAAAATTTAAATTTATAACAGTATTTACCCAATAAATTCAAGACTATAACCAAAATCTAAAATTTCAACAACCCTGTAATCTGTTGAAGCCATCAACACCTACCATCTATCATTCGAGCCGCAACATCACCTACCATCTGAGCATTCGAGTCGCAACATCACCTACCATCTGAGCATTCGAGTCGCAACATCACCTACCATCTGAGCATTTGAGCCGCAACATCACCTACCATCTGAGCATTCGAGTCGCAACATCACCTACCATCTGAGCATTTGAGCCGCAACATCACCTACCATCTGAGCATTCGAGTCGCAACATCACCTACCATCTGAGCATTCGAGTCGCAACATCACCTACCATCTGAGCATTTGAGCCGCAACATCACCTACCATCTGAGCATTCGAGTCGCAACATCACCTACCATCTGAGCATTCGAGTCGCAACATCACCTACCATCTGAGCATTTGAGCCGCAACATCACCTACCATCTGAGCATTCGAGTCGCAACATCACCTACCATCTGAGCATTTGAGCCGCAACATCACCTACCATCTGAGCATTCGAGACGCAACATCACCTACCATCTGAGCATTCGAGTCGCAACATCACCTACCATCTGAGCATTTGAGCCGCAACATCACCTACCATCTGAGCATTCGAGTCGCAACATCACCTACCATCTGAGCATTCGAGTCGCAACATCACCTACCATCTGAGCATTCGAGTCGCAACATCACCTACCATCTGAGCATTCGAGTCGCAACATCACCTACCATCTGAGCATTTGAGCCGCAACATCACCTACCATCTGAGCATTCGAGTCGCAACATCACCTACCATCTGAGCATTTGAGTCGCAACATCACCTACCATCTGAGCATTCGAACCGCAACATCACCTACCATCTGAGCATTCGAGTCGCAACATCACCTACCATCTGAGCATTCGAGTCGCAACATCACCTACCATCTGAGCATTCGAGTCGCAACATCACCTACCACCTGAGCATTCGAACCGCAACATCACCTACCATCTGAGCATTCGAGTCGCAACATCACCTACCACCTGAGCATTCGAACCGCAACATCACCTACCATCTGAGCATTCGAGTCGCAACATCACCTACCATCTGAGCATTCGAGTCGCAACATCACCTACCACCTGAGCATTCGAACCGCAACATCACCTACCATCTGAGCATTCGAGCCGCATCATCACCTACCAGACATTTAAAGATTATTTTTCTATTCAGTAATCAAAACTAAAAGAAAAATGTCACGTTTGTTCTCTTTTGTTACTATTAAAAAAAATATCGTTACATTTAAAAAACAAGAACAGTACGGTAGAAACGACAACAGAATAACTTTAAATAAAGTATTTCTTAATTAAAATGAATTAAATTTAAACTTTAAAATTCTTTGAAAAGGCTGTCAGTTTAAAAATTCTGCAAGATAAATATTCTTGTTTCAGCCATGATCATGGGCTTACCCGTGATGATGGTGATATCGGGTTTCGACTTGTAAATGTAAACTTACTTAAAGATTATTTAAAAGAGCAACACACAAGTTTCTTGCTCGTTCTTCTTGTGATAAGACAGCTTTGAGTGTCAGGTTTCTGGCGTGTTGTTTACTATATTATTCTGAGGCTATAATTTCTACTGTAAGAGTCGCAATACAAAACCTAACCTAACCTACCTTTCTATAAACCATTTCGACCTGTGACTTTGATTTTTATTGCAATGGGCACAATACAAAACCTCACATTACCTACCTTTCTGTATACTATATTAATTTGGGTTCACAGTTTCTAATGTAGAGATCATAATACGAAACCTAACCTAACCCACGTTTCTGTGTACCTTATTGATCTGTGGCCAATTTCCATATTCTCCTGTCTATAGACCTAACCTCATCTTACTTTTCAGTATACTAATAGTCTGAAGCAATAATTCCTACTGAGTAGCAATACAAAATCTAACCTAACCTACCTCTCTGTATACCTATAGATCTTTGACCATAATTTCTATTGTAAAGGAAATAAAGAAAAACAAAACCGTCGAGGTTGCGTGTGGGTCGTTTTAGCTGATTTTTTTATGGTGAAGGTTTCCTTTTCGATCTTGGTTGGCAGAAACATGACACTCAGACCTGTCACACTCAAAGTTGACACAGTTTGTGTGGTAGATAAAAAAAACATTGTTATGACTATTCAAAAGTGCTTAAATTAAGTTTATTTGAATAAATTATTTTCTATTATATTCTATTCTATTGTTTATAATAAAACTGTCTGTCTGCAATATAACATGGTGAATTGTCACGAACACTTACATCGCGATCGCACTGGTTCGGTTCTGTGACAGTGAAATGAATCCGCATTCCGGTTATTGGAATGTGAACCGGCCGCCTCATGTTATATTCAAACAACCATAAACAATTGACACATTTGTTCCATTTTTATTCAAAGACTAGTTGCATACCGCGTTTTTCTCCATGTGATTTCAAGTGAAAGATAATATGTCTATTATTATGTCTATATTCATCATTACATAGAATAAAACAAAGTCGCTGTCGCTGTCTGTCCGTCCCTATGTATGCTTAAATCTTTAAAACTACGCAACGGATTTTGAAGCGGTTTTTTTAATAGATACAGTAATTCAAGAGGAAGGTTCATATATATAATACATCCGAGCGAAGCCGGGGCAAGTAGCTAGTTACATAGTATAAAACAAAGTCGCTGTCGCTGTCTGTTCGTAGTTTTAAACATTTAAGCATACATAGGGAATGTATGCTTAAATCTTTAAAACTACGCAACGGATTTTGAAGCGGTGTTTTTTAATAGATACAGTGATTCAAAAGAGTTGAAGTTGAAGTGTAATCGTCTGTCATGGTATGGACATGTAATGCGTAGGAACGAGGATAATATTTTATGAAAGATGTTACAAATTAATGTGGATGGTAATAGGCAGAGGAAGGCCGAAAAAGTGATGGATGGAATGTTTGAAAGATGATATGATAAGAAAGGAAGTAAATAACGAGATGACTGCGAACAGGGATGAATGGAAACGAAAAACATATTACGACGACCACAAATAAATGGGATAAGGAAGAAGCAGATGATGATGATGAGAGTGATTCAAAAGAAAGTTTATATATAGTACATATACCCGTGCAAAGTCGGGGCGAGCAGTTAGTTAAAGAATAAAATAATAATCAAACACGAATAGTTCTTAAAATTAACATTTAACCAAATAATAAAATATTTCCAAACACTATTAGTAGGGTACGGGTTACGTTCGGTATAAAAATATACCTCAAGATAAAAATCTAGTTTAATATTAAACTTCTATGACAGATGTTTCCCTCGGTGTGAATATCACACCGTAGCGTGCCACGAATTACACGACAATCAATTAAATACTAAATGAATTTTCGCCTAAAACAATTCGGCATTGCGTGACCCCGACGTAATGGGGGACAGGGGGAACGAAACTCGTTCGTGCACAATATTAGGGGTCCATCCGATTCAGAGATCTCCGAATTAACTTCTCCGTTTGTTTGAGCGAAACGTTTGTTTAAAACCAAACGGGTCATTAGTCTTTTGTCGCCGAGAAGTTTGTAATCGAGCAGATGTTATCTTTTATCAATTGCCTGAACACTGATTGGAGATAGCAGATTTTATTTTCGACTAGCTTTCGACTTTATTTACATGTCAATAGTCGCGTCAAAAATAGGCAAGGCCGGAACAAACAGACACACAGACAAAAATTGTAAAAAATATTATTTTGGTCTATGTATAGTTTTTATATTCATCAGTAAAAAAAGTGATTATCAATTTACATCAGTATAATAATAATAATACAATAATCAGTTACCTGCCAACTAAAAAGTCGCGTCAAAATCGATCCAGGCATTTCATCCAAAAAGCCGGAATCATCGTAATCATTTATTTTATAATTGTCATTGTTTGGTGATGTTCACCCGGAACTAAATCAAAGGGAGGTATACAATATATATATATAAAATAAGACACACATTACAAAATTATGTAAAAACTAAAACATACTAGTAACGCTGAACGTGACTCCCACTCAGCATTTATATTGTAGTATAGTTATACCACAGAGCTGAATTCCACCCCTAAGGGGATAAAATAGGGGATGAAAGTTTATATAAATCTTCTTAGATTTTCGACTGATTGAAGTCAAATTAAAAATTGGAGCATTATAGTGATGAAGACGTTCGCTTAAATAGGATTTTGAAATTTCAACCCCCATGGGGATGAAATAAAGGATGATGCAGGATGTAAATGTATTAGTTTGAACCTAATGGAACGAATAAATTAAGACGAACAAAATAATTTTTAGTTCTTTAGGCTACTTTTATTTTAGCAAATTAAAGTTAAATTCCACGCGTACGAAGTTGCGGGAACAGCTAGTTGTACTATAAAAGAGTAGAAAATTGATTATTGGGAATCCATCATGGAATCAATCCTACTTTATGACGCACTTATCAAAATGAAAATGCTTTAATATCCTCGAGCGTTGTAAATATTTTGACAACGAGTTACGATTTATTTTCGTTTAATGCGTGGCCATTTATGTATACTGCCGTGGGAGTGAAACAACGTGGGTTGATGTTATTTGTAAACTCAATATCACAATTCAAAACAAACGCGACACGAATCCAATTTAATTGAAATATATAAATATAAATAATCATCTACGTCATCATCATCATCTGCTTCTTCCT